CTCGCTCGCTTGCTCGTGTTAGCTCTTAGTCTCATTGATTTGGCTACCTTAGGGCTGCGTTCCCCGCGCCCACGCGATAGACAATTCAACGCACCGTCGGATAACCCTTTCCCGACTTTCCTATACCAAACACGACACTACCACCAGTCGGTGTCCAGCGACCACGCGACAGCCGCCATGTTACCTCACAGAACTACCGGTCCATCTCCAGTCGGCGACCGCGACGTCCTGTGTACCCACTTATACCCACTTACACCTGTTTTTAAGGCCTAGTTGCAAGATCTCCACCCGACAACATTGTGAATATGTTGTGAATGCAGCTGGACACCGTGGCCATCTCGCTGCATCCGAAAAGGTCGACGACATTCCCCAAACGGAAACGCAGCCGCTACACGACAAAACGCGACCCCGTATACGCAGCCATTCCTGGCTGCGAACAACCCAGTTACAGTGTAGTTTTCAGATCCCACCACTTTCCGACATTGTACCGGTCACCAAAATATTTTGTCTTACTTTCGTTTGGGTGTGTCGTGGCAGCACGTCCGAAGGACGCAAACGTAGTTACTACATATTTTCTATAGACAGTGAGGGCTTATCCGCATCGAAAAAGAGGGAGCAATTTGTTCGCAGCGAAAAAGGAGCAATTTGTTTTTATTTTTATTTCTCTCGTTTGTCCGTTTGCAGCATCAGGAATGTATGTTTGCCCTACAGAGCACGACAACCCGTACAATGTAAACGTCCGGCCTCTGCAACAGCCCACAAAGAACCGCCGCCGGTCCACGACAACCACCGAAGAAGTCGCCCTCGTGGGATCCAGTTTTTTTTTTTCGCCCCACCACGGACGCTGACATCTTTGTAGTATTTTTTCGCGGCCATGTTCTTAGGGGGGGCGGCGACCAGCAGGTGCAGGCGGGCCAATCCCGCAATTTTCAAACGCCAACTTTGGCAGATTTTCGTGCTCAGAAACATTTACGAAGAAATCTGAAAATTTGAGATCTTGTAGATTAGATTGTAATCTTTCACGAAAAAATATCAGAAAAATAAAATAAAATAAAAAAGTTGGACTGAGAAATAAATGTTGCGCCTATTCCTCACATTTTTCAACTTTTGTCACTCTACCACGAGAGGGTCAACGGGAAAAGTACCCCAACTTCCACATTTTTTTGCGCTTAGAAAACATGATTCATAAAATTTGAATTTTTCAGGGACTGCGTATTCGATTGTGGTTTTGCCAGGAAAAATATTTTTAAATTAAAAAAAAAAAACAGACCGTGGAATAAATGCCACGCTGTTTTATCGCATTTTTCATTTTTGTCGCTCTTACCACGTATGAGACAGCGAGAAAAGTACCTCAACTTCAGCGATTTTTCACGATCAAAACAATGTGTCAAGAAATCTAAAAATTGAAGGGTCAATAAATTTGATCGCGTTCTTTACTGAAAAATATTTTAAGAAATACAAAAAAATCATTTAGGCCATGAGATAAATCACAGCGGCAATTCGATGCATTTTCCATTTTTGCCACTCCCCTGGTTCTCCCCACTGTGCTACTGGTAGCCCTCTTGAACTTATGCTACCGGGCACCCCGAATTTAGGCCGGTGGGGGGAGTGGTGGTTCAAACTCGACCTATGATGTAAAAACCTAACAAAAAATTATTGAATACTAGTACGGCCACTTGCCGACATCCGGAAGAGGTAGGTGGTGATCGACGGTGTGACCGGTTGTGTTTTGCCTTTGGCGAAATCACTGGGACACGCGGCCATTGGGTTACCAAAGTTAAACCGGTTCTATTTAACTTAAGGATGAGTTGATGTTAACCCGCACGATTCAGAGCCTGAATTGTGACGCCCAACCTCACGCCCAGCGGGACTTCCTGATCAGAGTGGGAGCGGACCCGGAAGTGGCAAAAAGAGGGTGTGCCAAGGATTTTAGGAAAATGGGGTGGTGTCCCAAGTCGGAATTGAGATCTCCGATGTCAAGGTTCTAAGGACAAAGATGCAAAGGCATTCCGATGACGAAGGAGGTTTCTCAGTTTGCGGCTATGATGGCGGGGTTGGCGCCTATGACCGGTCCATAGGCGGTGCTCTTGTCGTTTAGCTTCGGCACAAGCCCATCAAGCGATAGGGGTAGTCGTGATCGAGAAGAGGCATTCGATTCTTTGCTAAGGATTCACACTAATGTTGTCATTCCCATCCATGCAAAATTGTACTTACAGGCCAAACGGAGGTGAATTATGTGAGCTCGTGTGTACGCCACATGTTGTGTTGTTGGCTAGTCGTAATGCATACGCAGGCTCATATAAGATTCATTCACCAGACAACCCAAGACGACCAACTGCATTATTTATCATCGATTCTAATGGGTTACTGTTAGATATGCATCCATGCTCTTGAATCATAAACAGGAAGTGTGCATACAAAATTGAAACGATTAAGTCGTAACCATCATACACAACATCGTTCATAAAGGAGAGAGATATGAGAGATACTCCGAAGAAAGGAGCGAATTTACGCAATCATGTATCAGTCCGCAATTACAAAAATGAGAACGACGAAAACCAAATCCAAAAATTTCGAGAGTGCTAAGAGAGAAATCCCCACACACCCCAGCACCCCACGTGCTTTTACTACTTTACCATCCTGCTCCTTGTTCCGATGCAGGCTATCCGTCGCCTCGCACCTACCAGTAACTCAAAGTTGTCACCCCGCTTAGTTCAAGTACGCACATCGGGTCCGACCGTGCTCCACAGTCTCTGTGGCCGCACGTCAAACCCCACACTCGGTACTAGCTTGTCGGATCGCCCAACTCCAAACTCACCTCTTTGTTTGCTCCTACTCGTTAGTCGATCCTCTTGACCACGCTAACCTTCCCAAACTTTGATAAAAATGCAATTTAGTTGCACATGCGAAATTTATAACAATCAGCATTTGCGCAAGATAGTCGGGATTATGCGAAGGCAGGAGGAGAGAGGAAGGAAGGATGTCCCTATGGTCCACATGCCTAGGCTGCGGCGCGGGGGATGTAGCCACTCTTCATGCATCGATCTAGTGATACACTGTTCTAACCAATGAGATGAAGGGAAAGAAGTCCCACGCTTTGGCGTGAGGATAAGTCAAGAGGGAGAAGATTACAATTACACTCGCATTTGCCTAGAATGGAATACATATATATGGGTGAGTGATAGTCTACTTTGATTTTGGTTAAGGTAGATTATCATTTACAGTGTAATCAGTGAGGGGATTCTGCAGACTGTTGAGGGTTCAGCCTCCTGATGAGTYGGTGAAACTCCRACGAAACAGTTTGTCACAGCCCCTCGTTTGTTGTCCTCTTCTCTCTCTCTGCCTACGGTTTTACCGTGCAGTTCTATTTGTGACGATATATATATATATATATATATATATATATATATATATATATAGTTGAGATTATAATTAAGGCACGACGGGAGTA